AAACACAGAACATTTTGACAGCGCCATGCGTTGCTCACTTACGTCATGTGTGATGAGGATCATTTCATTCAGGATGTGTTTGATGGCAACCTACGAGATGGAAACAAGACTTTTGTTAGAGTGTGTGTGTGTGTGTGTGTGTGTTTGGGAAGGTGTGTGTGGCACTTACGGGGAGGTCGTCGGCTCTGCGGAAGCCGGCGTACACTGATCCACATCCTCCCCCGCTGATGAAATCCAGTTCTTCATATTTGGTCTCGAACGCTTCTGCAGACACAAACATGTTGTTTTCATACACTTGTGAGTGACGGCGACTAAATGTCACCTAAACCCGCCCTGCGATGGTAATACCAATTTTGATTTGACACTGAATGTAATAAAGCCTAAAACTACTGACCTTTGTTCTTTTTTTGCTGATTTTTTCTTGTCTGTTCCTTTCTCCTGATCCGTCCTTCCTCAGCAGCGGCGACCTTCCTCTTGTCGCCTCTCTTGCCAACGACCTCCACAGAGGTGTTGCAGCTCTCTACAGATGAGCAAAGAAAACAGGGGATTACATTATTATAATATTAGTTTTGACTTCCATGTGTGCCCCCTCAATTAATATTACGAATTTGCACATCTTCTCAATATTGCCCAACGTGGTTGGTTGTTCTTGTTTATTTTTAAACTCATCAGAGTTCATCTCCCACTACTGTCTGAACCCCGTGTTAAGTGAATTGATGATGGGACGCATCTCCAGCACCAGTTTCACACAATCAGCTTACCAGGTTCTGCTGGGTTGGACGCTGAGTCGCTGTCGACGAGTGACTGTATCTCTTCGGACGACGAGCTTGTGTTGTCATCTGCGGGTGAGAAAAAACATAATGAAACATTGATTTCTTGTGAACTGAGGTTTCTCCTGATTTCTTGTGAAGAGAAGCCAAACCACCGACCTTGTCCGTTTCTTTCCTGGTGCTCTCTGTCCTCGGCGTCGGTTCTCCTCCTCTTACTGTTCCGTCCTTCCTCAGCAGCGGCGACCTTCCTCTTGTCGCCTCTCTTGCCAACGACCTCCACAGAGGTGTTGCAGCTCTCTACAGATGAGCAAAGAAAACAGGGGATTACATTATTATAATATTAGTTTTGACTTCCATGTGTGCCCCAGAGTTCAGAGTTCATCTCCCACAACTGTCTGAACCCCGTGTATAGTGAACTGATGATGGGACGCATCTCCAGCACCAGTTTCACACAACCAGCTTACCAGGTTCTGCTGGGTTGGACGCTGAGTCGTTGTCGACGAGTGACTGTATCTCTTCGGACGACGAGCTTGTGTTGTCATCTATGGGTGAGAAAAAACATAATGAAACATTGATTTCTTGTGAACTGAAGTCACCAACCGCAAGAGAAGCCAAACCACCGACCATGTCTGTTTCTTTCCTGGTGCTCTCGGTCCTCGGTGTCCGTTCTCCTCCTCTTACTGTTCCGTCCTCCATCAGCAGCGGCGACCTTCCTCTTGTCGCCTCTCTTGCCAACGACCTCCACAGAGGTGTTGCAGCTCTCTACAGATGAGCAAAAAACAACAACAGAGGATTGTCAGTTTGTTGACAGTCACAACACCAACGTGGACAGAAAGCCCCTCGAACCAAAAGACAAACCGGTGTCTTTTCTGCTCGGCTGAATCTTCTTTAAAGGAACATGTGATCATTTCTAGCAGATCCTCCCAGAAATACTCAATACGGGAGAAATATCCCGACAGCTCTGCAGAGTAATAGTTCTAAAAGCAGTTTCACACGATCAGCTTACCAGGGTCTGCTGAGGTGGACGCTGAATCATCGTCAGGGTAGTCGAGGGCCGCTCGCCTCCTCTTGTTTTGCTCCCTTTCCTTTTGGTCTCTGAGTTTCTTCATTGCTCGAGTCATGATGACACTCTGCCCGGAGTTTTCGGCTCTTTCGTATCGGGCGAGCAACGCCGCTCTGACGAGAGGGTCAAATCTCTGTCTGCGGCGGACCCTCTTCTTTGGGACGCGCACTTCGGACGAGGATGTTCTGTCCGAAGAGCTTGATTCGTCATCTACACATGAGGAAAAACAGAAGGGAACATACATTTTGTAGTGAACTAAAGCCACCAACTGCATTAAACGGTCTTATTTTATCCTTTCACAGCTCAGACTCCAAAGAAACAGTAGGAAAAGGGTCCCAACAGCGGGAATCAGAGGTTTATCTTGAGGTACCCACTTCTCCCCCTGACAAGTCCAATAAACCATCATCACCAGTTAATTCAGACGTCTGTCTGGATTCTCCACTTACCTTGGGTCCTTTGAGGGAGCACAGAGCGTGTCATTGTGGCCTTTTCTCAATCTTTGGGCACTGCAAACGTGTGTGCAGTACAAAGGCTTTTAACTGACTGAGGACTTATACTGTGAAGAATGGAACATGGAACATGGAAGTCGGAACACGGAAGGTGGAATATGGAAGGTAGAACGTGGAACGTGGAACGTGGGGAGTCAGTGTGGGGTTCCGGAATATGCGAATGACATCGTTCATCGCATCATTTAGAGTGAATGTGTGGTTTGTAGGCTCATTGCAGCCATAAATACTGATAAAAAGGGAGATTTTGTCAGTATTGAGAAAATTCAACATTTTGTTGGGGCATGAACATCTTTTTTTACTGTCCAAATCCGAGGCCAACAGAGTACATTAAAAAAATGAACCAAAAGTCACAGCTGCTGTCATTAATAAATAGCTGCTATGAATTTTTACAACTAACAAGTAATTAGGTTTACGTGTTTGTTGTATTTATATTTAATACTAATAATCTAGGGTTTTAAAGAAAAATAAAAAATCTATTTCTGAGAGAAAACGTTTGAACATTATCATTATTATTATCATATTATTCAGTTTTTCTTTCAATTTCCAACATTTTGTCACCATTTCATTTGAATATGTATATTAAAAATAATACTTTAAGGGTAATAAAACAATAAAAGTCCTTCTATGAAAACTTCTAAAGCTCAGTAATTATCTTCTAAAAAAATCAAAATCTAAACTAAGCTAACCTGCTGTACCTCCACATTTACCAGACGTGTAATAAATCTTCTCAAACAATTCTTGAGTATTAAATGAAGTGTAAAATTCATACAGTAAAACTGTGATAAAACATTAAGAATTCAATTTGTATTTAAAATAATGTATGTCCCCTACATGCAAAGGTTCACCTGAGCTAGGATGAATGACAAGTCCGTTTTATTTTTTTTTTATAATAAGGTGCTGTTTATTTAATCATTTTGTTATTCACATGTCTCGGTAGACTCTGCTAAAGCCGAGCAGTATTTACCACGTGTAATACTGACCTCAGCTTCGTTTTCTGGGCTTCCTGCAGAAGAGAGAGCCAGTCACAAACATGAGCGGAGCTCCAAGCCGACTCCTATCGGCACCTTCGCCCCAGTGTGCGATCGGTGGCGGTAAATGGGTGATGGATTATAGCAATATGCTATTTTCTTCATTTATTTTTACCCAAGGACAGAGACCTTTTGAGTTGGCTGACTGGTTCATCCCTGCAAACGAGGAAGTGCTCATCTGGCTCTTTATACACACTGAATGACCGGATTAAGTGTCTGATCACTTTGTCTGTGAGCTGCAGAGGGCTGAGGCGGCACAAACCAGCCGGCTCGCTCAGAGCTGAAGGGGTTCAGGTGGTCGGGTGTGTGACGGGGAATTAAAACTGGACTGCGGGTCTTTTTTCGAAGATCCAAAAGTTCCTCCGCTTTTCCCGTCAGCGGGTCGTTTGGTCTCACGCGAGCAGCGAGTGTTGTAGTAGACAGACCATTAACATAATTAACAGCCTCACCTGGACAGAAAGGAAACTCCCTCGAGCTAAAAACACTTACAACCCACTTGAAATGTTCTGTTTCTTTGTACAACATTAAGGAGGGAAGTTCCGTTTCATTTAACAAGGTCTCACTCTTGAATGAACGGCCGCCTGCCTGCACAAGAATGGATTGTATTTTTAAATAGGGGACAGGGAGCCTGGAAGTCTCCTAGTGTCCATCAGGCCGGATCCACTGAAACCAAAAGTCAACATGAGTCATCCCGCTGTGCTGTGCTAGGCCATGTAGATGAAAGTGTTTAAATCAGTCTCATCCCGCTTTATGTACTTGTGATCTATCAGCCACTCAATCTGCTCCTTGATCATCTTCTTCTGTGGTAAAAACATGTTCTTCAGGATCTCCACCAGCTCCGTCTGCAGCTGGGCGTTGTTGATCCGCTTCCTCATCTTCATGATCTGGATTATGGCCTCCTGGAGAAGAGGAACACAGCGGCGTGATGAATTAGAGAAAAAAAACACATGGTAACAAAGTGTACTGAGGGACAGGTGGGTAAATAATGTAGTTAATACAAACACAGGTGTCTGCTGAAACTCCACGATGGGAAACCGGGGGGAAACCGTGTGTTCTCCCCAGGTGGTGTTACATAATAAAAGGGACCTGCGGTATCTTCAGCAGTACGCTGGGAGCTCATGTCCGTACCTGTGTTCTTAGTATCCTGAGCTGGACGATGCCCTCGTTCTCCTCCTCCCTCATTCGCTCCGTGGTGAGCTGCAGGCGGCCAATCAGGTTGATCTTCCCCCTTTTCTGAACCTTGGAGTTTTTTCTGTAGCGTTGAATTAAAAAACACAAACAAATCAAGATGCAGTACGGGTTTACAGTCAACGGTTCAGGAAACTTGATTTATTTGTTTGCAGGTATGCATGAGCAGACAACACCGCCTTTTCTCTTTGATGCAATGATCAAAGGTAACAGAGGAATCCCACGGGCACACAATGTATTTATTTTGCAATATGAGCAAGCTAAAGTGATTTGCAGATCAAGTAGCTCATGCTTACATACCCTTAGGGACATTAATGCATGAAGTAAATCACAACTGGCACGGCGCAAATTTGGTGGAAGGGGTCCCGCAACCGATTAATACGACGCTGAACTTCACATGGTCAACATTACTTACATGAGAGAAAACTCCTGGTTGACGTAGAATAGTGTTCCTTCTGCAAAGTCTTTGGGCGAAGTCACCACCGGGTCGTACGACAACACCTGTCGCTTGAGTTTGGGAAACGCCACCAGAGACTGGGCGGGCGAGAGAGAGAGAGAGAGAGAGAAGTGGTGAAAACAAATAATCCGATTAATACAACGTATTAAAAATCAAGCTACATACAGCCCTGTATCTGAAGATCAGGATGGAACCAAAATGACCAGGTTCAGGCGGACTATTTATTTGTTTGACATCAGCTATCCGTTTACCCAGAGAGTGCGCCGCAGCTCGGCGTCCGGCAGCTCAGTGGCCAGCTTGAGGTTTTCAAAGCTGATCCTCTCTCTGGGCCTCTGGTTCCAGGCAAACAGCACAGCCAGCTGGAAGGTGGTGACCTCCAGGTCGTACTGGCCCACCTCATTCTTAAAGGTTATCTGGAGGAATTACATTTGGTTCAGTCCCTTTCCCGGCTTCTTCCAGTGCGTTCCACTGCTGTTGTACTCACAATGCCGTTGGACATGAGGTGATGCCAGTGCAGCTTCCTGCCGCTGTGGTTCTTCTTGTAAAAGTCTTCTACCTCAGGTATCAAATCTTCCAGCTCTGTAGGTAGAGAGACAAAAACCTTCTCGCTGCTCCTCGACCACGCTCCAGCATTCAGGATCTTTATGTTGACCGAGTCGGCTGCAAGGGGAATAGACAAGTTCGTTACAGCTTGCCTTTAATATGTGAAAAACTTGTCCTGAGACTCCAGAGGGGGACATACTTCGTCAACATTTAAGTTCGGATTTGTCATTAACGTCAACGTGGGAGTATTTTGTACTAGTATTTTGGAGAGACAAATTAACTTCCCCGAGAGTTAGATGAGAGGAACCAAACAATCTCAACTCTCCCCACTAAGCTAAGCCCTCTGAACTCAACCCACGTAAGAGAAAAAGAACCTTCCATTCTCTATTTCCTGAATGGGGGACTTGAGGTTGATCTGCATATTTGATAATGTACTTGCATGATTACTACCCACATGGTTAAATGCCCTTACTGTCAGCGGCTTTGTATATAGCAGTGGCTAAATAAAAAAAATGTAATTTAATGTGGATGTGCTGGATTAATGATATCGCTAATGATATATAAATGATATCGTGCATCGGGAATATTGAAGGGATCGTCTGGGTGTTTTGAATCAGGTATCCAAACTATCCCTAGTAAGCACGAGTAAGACGCTCGTCTCTCTCTCTCTCTCACCTGGTAAAGCAAGCCTGTTGTGTTTATGCATTTCTTTGAAAGATTGGTTGAGGTCCTCTGACACCTTGATGTCTTGAAACATCCGGGCGAGCTTGTTGACATAGTCAGCCGGCATTCCTACTTCCTGTTAGGATACGTGACACCACATTTTTTCAGATTAGTACAAGGCAGTAAACACACACACACACACACACACATCCATGGGGGTCTTACCCTGAGCCACTCCACCATGTTCTCCTCGATCTCGCTGTCTGCTGAAATGTCCAGGATGAGTCGACGGGTCAGGTGGGCTTTGTGGTAGCGCATGAACACGTCTTTGTTCTGCACATATTTCAGCACTAACAGCTGCAAAGAAAGAGGACACGGATGTTCACTGATCAACGATCGACCGCAGTGAACGCAATTACGAGAAATATCATGAAATGGTAACAAATTATAGCAGCCGCTCATAACAACAGGAAGGTTCCCCGAGACGTACCACTTCCTTGAGCTTGGCCTCGATCTCTTCAGACGTGAGCTTTTTGCTCAGTGGGGTCTTCCTCAACAGCATGTCACAGTAGTTGGCCAGCAACTCCGGACACTTGGACTCCGGTTGAGTTTTCAGACCGACCCTGTAAACACGGGATAGAGAAACTCATGCAGTGAGACACACAACGCCTCCGACAAAAAAACGGAACGGAAAGAGGAGCATCTCTTACCCTTTCTGTTTCATGGGAAGTTCTAATTTAAATATAGTGGCGTCATTCACGACGGCTTTGTATGCCTGCGAAAGGAGGTTGAATGACAGATCAATTCAAGCATCTTCTGAACGGTCGGTCCTACAATTGGCACCACGGGAGTAAAACTTCAGCTCACTTTGTCTCGGGCTGTGAGGAAGCGCGGGTCGTCCTGAAAGGCCTCTTTCACCAGCTGACTGAAGCGGTTGAACAAGGTGAGCAGCTGCTCCACATACTTCTCAGAGTCCTGCAACGAGCCCGAAAGTCCATCATCATCACCATGACGCTAAAACGTTTTCTAGGACGAACGAGCTTCTTTCCCTTTACTTCTCTTTTCCTCCCTGTGTGTTTGTGTGTAAACAAGGACAAAAGTGAATTATGCCCGAGACAAGATAGTAAGGAGGATGAGAGGCGCGAGATGTTAATACTACTGGCGTCCTCCTCACCTGAGCTGTAACGTTAGTTAGCGTAATGGAGCTACCCGAGCTGGCAGTATTGAGTACAGACTAGGGCTGCAACTAACCATTATTTTGATAATCGGTCAATTCTTT